CATTTGGTTGTGTTGCGTTAAGGCCCATGGGAAAGAATGAGAACAAGAAATAAGACACCTGTCACCTAAGAGAGCAGCATAAAACTTTACTGAACTGAAAAAGCTGAAATAAAGCTGCATCACTGTCATAGATGTACTTGCTGCATACGTGGAGAACATGTTCATGTCTAGGCAATAAGTCTTACTAAGCACCCTGCAACTTAGATCTCGTACAGTTAGTAATCTTACGTTGTGTGGTGACCTTAAAAAAAGCATCGCAAGAAAAAGCTGAGAACTTAGAAGTACTGAGCTTTTTTCGAATCTCCAGCTGGAAAAAGGAATGCTTAGAGCTAATTATTTTAGGTTTTGGGAATCAGCTGGCTTCCAGTTTCTGTTTTTTTTGTTCGAATGATTGTTTTTCCAATAGTGAAAAGTAATTGATTCCATGTTTGAACTATGGATAGATTCCAAAAACAATTTTTGGAGTTTAAGTTTTAAATCTTGTCATTAATTTTATGGGGGTTTTGGCTTTTTCTTGCCTCTAAAAAGCAAATATCAATATTGAAGAGTAAGATACTACAAGGTTTATGTTTTTAGCATCTTCTTGATGTGTTCACTTTTTTGATCTGGATATATTCTAAGGTCTAGGCCAATGATGATAAACCAATATTTGTAAAACATATTGAAATTTTGGAGTAATTTGTATTAAATGAGAAGTCTTGATTTATTATAGAGATTTCACCACTTTGGAGACCCTTCCACATCACATGTTCTTGAGAAACAAAGTAGAATGATGCCTGTTTTCTCCTGTGAGGGAACTGCAGCTACTTAGAAGACCGCCGGAGGCAGTGCTTTCTGTTTAAAAAAGATAAGCAACTCTTTTTTAATCAGCAAGTAGAATGATGAGAAATTAAACAACTTTCATGTGTTGATATGAAACTTCATGAATTTACTGCAGGACTTGAGTTTTTCATTTGAAGATTGATTTATATTATAGAATCATAGAATGGTTTGGGTTGGAGGGGACCTCAAAGATCATCTAGTTCCAACCCCCCTGCCATGGGCAGGGAAACCCTCCACTACACCAGGTTGCCCAAAGCCTCATCCAACCTGGCCTTGAACACTTCCAGGGATGGGGCATCCACAGCTTCTCTGGGCAACCTGTGCCAGTGTTTCACCACCCTCTGAGTGAAAAATTTCTCCCTTATATCTAATCAAAATCTGCCCTCTTTCAGTTTAAAGCCATTGCCCCTTGTCCTATCACTACACGCCCTTGTAAAAAGTCCCTCTCCAGCTTTCCTGTAGGCCCCCTTTAGGTACTGGAAAGCTGCTATAAGATCATCCCGGAGCCTTCTCTTCTCCAGGCTGAACAGCCCCAACTCAGCCTGTCTTCATAGCAGAGGTGCTCCAGCCCTCTGATCATCTTTGTGGCCTCCTCTGGACCCTCTCCAGCAGCTCCGTGTCCTTCTTGTGTTGGGGAGTGGAGCAAGTGAGTTTTGGAGCAGTTCTGAATGCCTTGCAGGTAAGAAAGTAGTCCTCAGAGGTCTGGGATTATACAGTTTCCCTTAGCTGAGCAGCTAGGTAACTTCAGAAGGTTGCCCTTTTGTCATGGCTTAACCCAGCTGGCCGCTGAACACCACACAGCCACACACTCACCTTCCCCCATCCCTGAGGAATGGGGAAGAGAATTAAAGGGGAAAAGTGAAGGAGACTTGTGGCTTGAGAGAAGAACAATTTAATAATTAAAATAAAATTAAAAGTAATAATGATGATAATTTATGATAATATATACAAACGAGTGATGCACAGTGTAATTGCTCACACCCAGTGACCAATGCCTGTCCTGGCAATTAGTCCTGAAACAGAAGTCTTGCAACTGCAGTCCTGGAAGAGAGAGGCCTGAAAAGAGTATGAGAGAGAGAAAACTCCGAGTCTGAGAAGACCCAAACTTCCCGGCCAACCCTCACCGATATCCTGGGCATGATGTTGCATGGTATGGAATACTCCATTGACCAGTTTGGGCCTCAATCCTGAGTCTAAGTTCGAATCATAAGCTAGGAGTTGTGGGCCCTTTGTCCTGGTCTTGCTCCCCCCAGCCTGCCATGCTCCTGCACACTGGCAAAACATGGGAAGCTGAAAAGTCCTGGATGTCTCAGTGTCAGCTGCAAACATCAGTGCACTGTCAGCGTTCTTCTCATAACAAACGCCCAAAACATGGTGCTGTTCTAGCTACTGGAAAGAAAACTAACTCTGTCCCAGCCGAAACCAGGACACCTTTCCGGAAGGTCTGAATAGAGCTACTCCTTGTTTTTCAGAACTACTTCTGCTTGAAGGGAAAGCAGCTCCTTAGGCACAGTTGTGTGAAGGGATTTTCATTTCAGTTGGCCTCTGGTACATTTTCTGTGAAAACAGGTCAGAATGTATCTGTAATAAGATATGATTCTGGTTTTTAAGCTATATTATTCCTGATTTTCTTTCCTGTTTTTAGTTTGTTGTCACCAATAGGAGTTGGTTGTTTGGATTTTGTGTTTTGGTGTTTTTTTTGTGTGGGGTGGGGTGATGTCAGGGTAATAGTGAACAAAGGAAATAGGGGAAAGGTTAAAAAAAAATTCCAAAAAAATCATTGACTGTAACTTTTGATTGTTGCAGCGCTAATGTTTTTAGTGTGCTTTGTGTTTTATAGTAAGGGGTGCATCTTAACTTTTTTTTTTTTTAAATGTACCCTTTTTAGATACAGTTTTATCACTCTTCTGTACGGGTTCCAGTGCATGTGCAAAAGTTCATGTCAGCCTGTTGGCTCTTTATATTGGTATCGGAAATACCTATTCCTTTGTGTTATTGTTACAATACTAGGTTTACAGAAATTTATTTAACAAGTGGGAAAATTGTCTACCCATTGTAATCATGTAACTTCATTTCCAGATCCTCAGTTCATTAGCCAACTTGGCTAAAACCTATAAAATGTACCAATTGTATTTGCTTTGAAGTTTTAGTAGCATTTCTGTTGTTGTTGGCAAAGTTTCCACTGTTAGGATTGTGTTCCCCTGAGGGAATATGTAGTTTGCAAGAAATCTTACTGGTATGTAGACAGTAATACCCCAGGCTTTGTATTATGCTGCCTTGTGCCATAATAGTTTTATGTCTATTTCCATTTGACATCTAAATCAGTAACTTATTGGAATCACTGTTTTCCTTTTTAAACCCCTCTGTTTTCAGGCTGAGCATGAAAACAAAATTATTTTCTTATTGGCAGAGATTAATATTAAAATTACTATAGTTGTTTGTCCTGGAGAGATGATTTTACTGCTCTTTGCTCCATGAGAGTTTCATTCTTTTAAAAGAAAAATCTGTTGTGGATGAATGGAAGGTATGATGGCAGTAATACTCTTGCATCTTTAAGCAAAGCAAAGTGTGTAAAACAGACTTCGATTGTTTTAGATGGAAAGAAGGCAAGATGTCGGTTCCTTCATCACTTTTGCAGGAGTTAAGCAAAGCAAAGTGTGTAAAACAGACTTTGATTGTATTAGATGCAGGAGGTATATAACCTGTGCATCATCCGACTGCTGTATCTGTCGCTGGCTTTGTGGATTTTATTTTGAGAACTTTTAATTACATTGTTCCTGATTTGTGTTTTTTTGCCTGCCTTTTTTTTTTAAACAAAATATATATATATATAGCAATGAAGAATTAATTTCATTGTAATAGAAGATCAGGTATCAAATGTAAGTTGATACTGAGAGTGCAGCAGAGGTGTTATGTTGAGACTGGCCTGAGTGGGATTGTATCTATTTGCTTTTCAGTTATTTCTAAACCTGTTTTGTCCTCATCGTGGCTTTTGTTGCAAATCTGATAAAACTGAGGAGCCAACGCGTCCATCTTCTTACTGTTTTCTTACCAGTTCTTCCCTTTGCACTCGATGGGAAAATTCACAGGAATTCCATCACTGTTGCCTGTGAAGATTTGCCAGGCATCTTTTCGTCCCACCTAGAATCAGTTCTCTTCCTTGATTTACAGGTGGCAGCTGTTAGTACAGCTTCGTTCTTCCTCTGGATACTGAGTGGGAGGGTAAAAACACTCTGCTGCAGATATGAATGCCTAACTGTATTTTGTTATTCTTTTGCTACTATTTGAGCTTTTATGGTTAGACACGAGTGTTGCAGAGAAGGAAATAGACCAAATTTGGTAGCTTTCAAGAAGTAAGGGCTGTACACAAGGCATAGCTGGTTTCTGTAACGTTAGAGAAACTCAGTAAAAGGAATTGAACATCCTGAAAGAAGGTTAGTTAGCATTTATTTGTGCTCTTGTCTTTACTGGTCTTTTGTGTTTCCTGCTTCTTTAATTTGTTACCTGAGTGCCGGGCCTTCCGTTTCAGTGGAAACAAAATAAGACAATCAAAATCAATGCTGAAATAACTGTGAACATGTAAACCTGCAATAAAAGTTGCATTAATCTGAGACGAGTAAAAATACTGATGAATTCTCCTTAAAAGTGAAATAACAGTAAATTCCTAATGTATGTACAACCACAATTCATGAAATATTTAGTATATTCTGAATAAATTTATCAGAAAACTTTGGAAACTTCCGTGGGATGTTTCTATTTTCTCAGTTTCAGTACAATTCTGGGTACACTTAATTAATTTTTCCTCTTAAACCAGGATACAGTGTTCTCCTATCCAACCTTTTCCCTTTTATTTCCTTTTTTTAAAAAAAAAAAATATTCAGACCTTTCTTTCTGATGAAGGTGGAATTTTTTCAGTTTCATGAAGGAAGAATACATTTTGTGCAGCTGGGAAGACAAGTTGCTTTTCTCCCAAAATACTTGAAAGCAGCTGTCAAACATCAGATACCGTTTAACGTCGCTTTTTATTTGGGCTTTGCATTCGGAGGTGGGAGCCCAGCTTGTTCACTTAGCTGACTTTCCTATTCAGCAACTGATTTTAGGACTGCTTCTTGTGGTAAGAGATGGTGGTGTAATTACATCAAGAAGTCATTAATTTTAGACTGTCTGTTTTTTTCTAGGTTTTTAGCCCGTTTATTGGTAAAGATGGCAGCCAACAATGCAGTGCTGAACAGACTGGAGCAGAAGGGTGCAGAGGCTGATCAAGTTATTGAATACCTCAAGCAACAAGTTGCTCTGCTCAAGGAGAAAGCTAGTAAGGAATTATCTATCTTATGATAAACTTGTTAACCAGATGGTTGACGTTAAATACTCGTAGGAAAAAATGGGAACATGGACAACTTCATTGGTGCTTTCAGCCTTTAAAGTGTGTTTCAAGTTCTCCAAGATAAAGTGTGTGATAGTAGCACCGCTTCGCTGTCTTGTGGTTTGTGGGGTTTTTTTGAAGCTGCTTATTCTGAAATAGAAAAGGAATGAATGAGGAAGGATTAATGACACAAGTAGATTATGGAAATTTGATATGACATGATTCCTTTTGGAGGGAGAAAGGGAGTTCGGAAGAGTATGAGACTATGCATTTGCCTGAGTATGTTACTGCTTTTTCACCACTGTGGGGCTGTCAAGAGTATCATACCCTCAACTTTGACATTTTGTACATACCTGTATCAGTGAATTTAGGTGCTCCATGTTACAAACATGTTCAAACTTTTTCTAAGAGGTTTCTTGTAATTTTTTCTTGTGAGTATATTTAAGGACTGAGAAGCTAGTATATTGAGAGGCAACTTGAGTACACAAGTATTGTAAAAATGGCTATTTCAACAAAAAAGAATTCCGAAATATCTCTGATTATATACTTCTTGAAAGTTTCCACTTCTCTGGTGTTTGGCTTGCCGTGTTTTACTTTTGTCTAAAAACAAAACCTCTGTTTGCCAAATGTTGGATGCTAATGATTGAAGCCTGTTGTTTTTAATAGAGTATCAACTCTAGTCTTGCAGGCATCTCTACGGGAAGAGAAGAAGCTCCGTGTGGAAAATGCTAAACTGAAGAAAGAAATTGAAGGATTGAAACAGGAGCTGATTCAGGCAGAAATTCGAAATGGAGGTGGGAGAAAAGTCCTATCCTCATGCAACATAGATCTAGTTGGTTTTGATTATATTTTGTACTATCTTAATCCTTCTTGATTTTTATCCGCCTGTATGTGACTCTGGCATTTCTTACACGCTCTGGATTTTCCTAGGTTCCGTGCCTATGATGAGTTACTTACTTCCAACATTTTAGTAATGCAAACCTAGCAGATACATATGCCAAATCTTAATCAGTCATGGAATTGATTTTTCTTGTGTTTTTGTACAGTGCCTTTCATAATAAGCCTTGAAAAATCAAAAGACTGATGACAGTAACTGCCTATAATACCTTAGAAATTGTGGAATATCTAACACTTCTTGATGCTCTCAGTATTTAATCTAACATGACTGAAGAACCCTATGGAAAATCAAGCCATGGTTCAACATACAGATGGGCAGTGACTTATTAGAAATCTGTGGTAATATAAAACTAGAAACAATGTCTTTTGAATTTTGATTCTGTAGCTTAATAAGACTAGCCTTTCATTGCACTGTTTTCCTTCTTTACACTCCTGCAGCTCTATTCAGCTTGCAGCATTGTTATATAATTCATATTAAAAAAAGGATAAAGAAATCGTAACTGAAGTGTTTTAGATCCAGCATGACTTCTTTAAAATTATTTCCAAAGAAAGCCTCTTCTACCCTCAACAGCTGTCACTATTTTTACCCGTGCTATCAGTGTGGTAAATTGGGTGAGATAGTATCCAGTGCAACTGGATGTTAACGTTCAACCATACTGAATGTTTTACTGGTAAAACAACACATTTATCTTTGAAAAGACTAGCATTTTATAAACGCAGAGAATTCTTTTTCGCCTTTGGATACGAGTGAAGCCCTTTCATGTGCTAACCCAAATGATTAGTTTATATTTCTCCATTGTCTGTTAGTCTGCAGCAGTTCTTGACAGGCATAGGATGTTTCACAGGATCTCTGTTATGCCTGAGAGAGAAGTCCCAAGGTGTACAGATCTTTTCCAAGATGGGAAAGGACTAGGAAATTAATATTCGACTTGACATGCATCTTCCTGTACTTAGGTAGTTTATCTAAAAAGTAGTAGGACTAAATTCAGATCTTTACTTTTGAAGTAAATTAGTGTATGTTAGCTTTGACAGTATTAAGTAGTTGAGCACAGAAATTAGATGAGTGCAGAGCATCAGAACTATCACTTGAGATATATATTTTTTAAAATCGGAGAAATAAAAAGACTTTCTACAACTAGCAAGCAAACAGCAAGCAAGTGGTTGCTGGTGCAAGAAATCTCAGATTCGAATTATCTTGTAAGAACATAATTCATGCAAATTGCTTTGGCATTAAATAGAGCAGATATCAACAAACAGTGCAGCTCTTCAGCAAAGTTAGTAAATGTCTCAAGTGTAAAAAGAAGCATGTGTGCAGAACGGGGAACTGATTAGTGGTGACACTAGACGGATTTGTTAAACAGTAATTAATCAGAATTGTAGAACAGCCCAGGTTGAGAGAGACCTCAAGAGATCATATAGTCTAACCTTTTGTGAGAAAGGAAGTCTAGATGATATTGTCTAGCACTCTGATGATGCTTACAATGATATTGTAAAAAGCCTTAATGAGATTCTTGAGAAGAGCAAAATGTAGAAGGAAGGTGATTCATCTGCTTTCATCTGTTAAGACTTGATAGTGAGATGATGTCCAGAATTCTGTATCAACAGTTTAAAAAGAAATGCGAAGGTGATGTGAAGAATTTAGGGAAGGGAAGTGAGAAATCAACAGATCGTTTTAGGGTTGCAGATAATTTCTTAGAATGTTATGATTTAGGCTCAGTTGCTTTAGTTAATCAGAAAAAAGAGTTACGAAGTGATACGACTACAATATAAAAATGATTTTCTGCATAGAAAATTACGACATAGTCTCCAGTATGGTGAGAGCTTCTAGCTAGAAACTGAAACTAGGCAAACCTAACTGAGAAATAAGGAGTTAGTAGCAAAGACAACTAGATGTTGAAATAAACTACAAAAAGAGGTGGTGTTTGCTTATACATTTTCTTGTATTTAGCACTTTTTGCCTGTTTAAAAAATGGGTAGTGAAAGGCATTGTTCTTCACTGATCAGAATAATCATATGTAGATTGAGTGCTGGTATGTGGTTTTTAATGTTGTGCTTCACTACTCAGCAGCTGTGGTTTAGGTATTTTAAGCAAAATTTTCAGTTCTTTCTACTTTCTCATTTATGTTGGAAACTTAAAATGTCACAGTGTTCAAAGTTCTGGTATCCTTTCTAACTTTTGTGGTTTTAATTTTAGTAAAACAGGTCGCAATTCCTCCTGGTACAACAGCTTCGTTTTCCGATGATGTTCCCCAACCTACAGCAGTCGCACCGTCTCCTGGTTTGAAAGATCAAATTAAAGGTGAAGATGAAGAAAAGAAAAAGAAGGAAAAAGTAGAAAAAAAAGGTACTTCAATTTTCTTTGACTGTGGTAGACCATTAAGGCATTTAATTCATGCGACTGCTTTTACGTGATTTTGGGCACAGGAAAAAACCAGTTTGTACGGCCACAGTAGGAAGTCTTGTGCTGTCTCTTAAAATCTTGGAAGTACTTGAAGCTAACGAAGGCTGTCAAGTAGGCTACAGATTCTTAATTAAATGGGATACATGCCGAATTTCTTTTAGTGTGATTGAATTCCTTTATTTAAAACAAGACAAAAACCAAAACAAACAACAAAAATAAAAAAAAAACCAAGCTCCTCCCTGAGTCCCCAGAAACCACATAACAGAAGAAAGGAAAACCAAGATACACACACACACAAAGGAGAGGGAAAAGAATAAAAGGGGAAGTGGGGAGAGGAAGTGGAGGACACAAAGGTTAGAGTAGTTTTTGGCAGACTGGATGGCTTTCTGTTCTGAGTCTTAGATTTTTTTTTTATTGTTATTTTTTTGTTCCTGCCATGGAAACAGTGCAAGCAAAGGCAAAGACCAGCTCAGAAAAATACCTTGCAAGCAATGGTAGCATAACATAACACTAAAGGAAGAGTGCTAAATTGCAGTTTTCTGCATCCTCTAAGTATGCTGCCTTTTTTTTTTTTTCTTTTTCTTCTCCTGGAAAATTCTTACAGACAGTGAAGTTCCATCAGAATTGATCCATGTCAACACTGGTGAAATTGTGTGGCTAAGAGGAAGTATTGGGTAAAGGACATTGGCAGATAGTATAATCTAGTTTTGGCAACAGGGAGGAAATGTAGCAGAAGGGTATGTAGGTTTTCTACACCTTTCCTCCCGTTTTTCTTTAGCTGTCTGTTGACTTCTGTTTGATAAACTCTCTTAATGGAAAAAAATGCACCTAAGTGTCTGTTACACAAAAGTATGGGTGCCTATCTTGTAACTTAAACTCATGTTTTGCAGTCATTCTCCTATGCCAATTATTAATAATTTGCAGTGAATTGATTTATACAGCTTTTCAGAATTTAGGTATTATGCTTATAGGGCACTGAGTCACTGATTTTTCTTTTTTTTTTTTTTTTCTGGTGAGCTGTATGCAGGCTTATAGGTATAGTATTTAACAATCAAAGTAGCCAATACATAAAATTTGTTTTCTAGTCCTGAAATTGGCGAAATTATGGAAATCCCTTTGCTTTCTGTCACCTGTCTTATCTCTTTCCTCTCTAGTTGTTCCCATGTTCTTACTTCTACTTCTTGCAAACTTCATCTGTGAGGCTTCTCTAGGTATTGGTTCTGGGCTGACTCCAGCACTGGCCAGAGGAGCACAGCTCTCTCCTTAGCCTGCAGCTCTGAAGTGGACATTTTCTGTGCATCTGTATATATGCTGTGTACAGATACACTTTACTGTGTTCTCTTTTCCTTACTTGGTGACAGACTCCATTTCTCTAAAGTGAAATAAATAGGGTGCTAGAAGCTGATTTTTTGGCTCCAGACTATTGTAAGGAAATATCATAAAGCGGAGAACAATGAGGAATGATACTAAGGATAAAGATTGCAGGTCTTTTGAAGTGATCTTATGTATTAAATATTAACTATCTTGAAGGCATTTTTTTCAGTTTCTGTTCAATTATTGTATATATGACTGGTTTTATTAATCTTAATTGTAATAGAATTGTAATCTCATTACAATTAGATTAATAAAACCAAGTCATAAACACTAGAGCTTTTTATTTATCATACATGAACTGAGATATTTTTTAAGAGCTATTGCTTATGTTAAAAAAAAAATACTGCCTTTTTATTGCTGAATGTATGATGTAATTTCAACCCTGTACTAGAGCAACGATAAATGAATCCAATTGCCTGCAGTGTCCACTTTTTCCTCTCTAAGGAAGAAAGCTTAGTTTATATTAATATGTAAGCTATTTTGAATAAAAGAATAACAGAATATGCTTATTTTAAGAAAGGATCTCTTAGACATTTCTTAATCCCCCAGAGATTATCAGTCATTAACCAAATCTTGAATATCTCTTAAACAGGACAGTCTTGTAAACAAACTGGATGTGACTTGCTCATCCTGAAATGAATATCTAAATAAGCAGCTGAGTATGGGCAATGTTGCTTCACAGCTGTTTTATTCTATACAGCATGTATGGGTGACAACAAACCCTTTCATTGCCATGAGATAAAGACTCCTCCTCAGTCGAACCTTGTAAGCTGTGAGCGTTTTCACACACTTGCGTATTTGGGAAGTGAAGAATGTTAACTATGGTCATAGAATCATAGAATGATTACTGTTGGAAGGGACCTCAAAGATCATCTAGTTCCAGCCCCCCTGCCATGGGCAGGGAAACCCTCCACTACACCAGGTTGCTCAAAGCCTCATCCAACCTGGCCTTGAACACTTCCAGGGATGGGGCATCTACAGCTTCTCTGGGCAACCTGTTACAGTCCCTCACCACCCTCAGAGGGAAAAATTTCTTCCTTAGATCTAATTGAAATCTGCCCTCTTTCAGTTTAAAGCCATTGCCCCTTGTCCTACCACTACATGCCCTTGTAAAAAGTCCCTCTCCAGCTTTCCTGTAGGCCCCCTTCAAGTACTGGAAGGCTGCTATAAGATCACCCTAGAGCCTTCTCTTCTCCAGGCTGAACAGCCCCAACTCTCTCAGCCTGTCTTCATAGCAGAGGTGCTCCAGCCCTCAGATCATCTTTGTGGCCCTCCTCTGATCCCACTCCAGCAGCTCCATATCCTTCTTGTGCTGGGGACTCCAGAGCTGAATGCAGTATTCCAGGTGAGGTCTCACGAGAGCAGAGCAGAGGGGCAGAATCCCCTCCCTCGAGCTGCTGGCCATGCTTCTTTGGATGCAGCCCAGGATACGATTTGCTTTCTGGGCTGCCAGCGCACATTGCCGGCTCATGTTGAGCTTCTCATCCACCAGCACTCCCAAGTCCTTTTCCTCAGGGCTGCTCTCAATCCATTCTCCGCCCAGCCTGTACTTGTGCTTGGGATTGCCCCAACCCACGTGCAGGACCTTGCACTTGGCCTTGTTGAACTTCATGAGGTTCTCACAGGCCCTCCTCTCCAGCCTGTCAAGGTCCCTCTGGATGGCATTCCTTCCTTCCAGCATGTCCACAACACGACACAACTTGGTGTCATCTTCAAACTTGCTGAGGGTGCACTCAATCCCACTGTCCATGTCACCAGCAAAGATGTTAAGCAGCACTAGCCCCAGTACTGACCCCTGAGGAACACCACTTGTCGCTGGCCCCCACTTGGACATTGAATCATTGACCACAACTCTTTGAGTGCGATCATCCAGCCAATTCCTTATCCATTGAGTGGTCCATCCATCAAAACCATGTCTTTCCAGTTTAGAGACAAGGATGTCATGTGGGACAGTATCAAATGCTTTGGATAAGTCCAGGTAGACAATGTCAGTTGTTCTTCCCTTGTCCATCAATGCTGTAAGCTCATCACAGAAGGCCACCAAATTACTCAGGCAGGATTTGCCCTTAGTGAAGCCATGAAGAGTTTATCTTGAAGAGTTGCTTTGCAACTGTAACAGTGCAGTTGCAGTGGCTTAGCATTGTCCACAGTCAGGACCTGTTGTTAAGCACTAGTAACTTGTTGACTTGTGATTGTCAAGTTTCCCTTTGCTGGTGAAACACCATGGCTAGACTTACTGGTATTTGCTAATTATTAAAACAGTACTTCATGCTTATTAGTGTGACCTGTGGCAGAGCGTATGCGTTAGCTACACTTAAAGATCAGGATGATTTCACTTTACAAGCAAGAAAACACCTCTGTCCTAAGGTGGTAATTGCTTGTAGAAACAATCTAGATTGGAGTAGGTATGATGATTCTCCACAAGAAACTAGTAATAGAGGTGCTAACTCTTTATTTGTGTTTTACACTAGATTTACACTTAACTCTGAGATCGTAGCTCACTTTTCCCTTGCAGTAGTCGTATACATTATTTATGCTTTTTGTTAATGTTTATTTCATGAATTAACCTTTCTTTAATAGGTGAAAAGAAGGAGAAGAAACAGCAGCCAGCTGCTGGCAGTAATGATGCAAAACCTGTAGATGTTTCTCGTCTGGATCTTCGTGTTGGCTGCATTACCACTGCTGAAAAGCATCCGGATGCAGACGCTCTGTACGTAGAAGAAGTGGATGTTGGTGAAGCAAGCCCAAGGACTGTTGTCAGTGGTTTAGTGAAACATGTTCCTCTGGATCAGGTATTGTCAAAATTATTTACTGATACCCTTTCACTTCCTAAAGTATCTTAGGACCTTAATCTATTTATAGGATGTGTTTTCACTCTGCTAAAAGATTTTTACAGTCATGAAAACAAAAATAAAATGCAAAATGGAAGTAATGCTTAACAACATCTGCCAGAAAATGGAGAAGTACCCTTATACCAAATGAGTTCCTTTCTGCTTGCAGTGCAAGCAGATCTTGGATCTTGTTCTGACTCCTCTGTGATGACACTGGCACAGTGGACTTCTAAACCAAACAGACGTGACTCTCTCTTTAGGTTTCCTCGTATGTAGTAGAGAACCCACAGTAACTTTTTAGCAGTCATCCAAACTTTTGAAACCTTTGCCTTCCAACTCTCGTTACAGACTGTTGAAGTGTTTGGCATGGAGTTAAGCAAAGAGAATGTAAATTTACCTTAGGTGGCAGTGAGCGGCTTAAACGGCAGTGGAATACAAAATGCAAATTTTTACTTCCTTATCTGGAATAGACTGCCTCTGTGCTTTTGTGACATCGCGTTTGATGTATGTCTTGGGAACAACCTGATACTTCACGATTATGTTTACTTTTCACACCTCTTGTAGACTGAAAGCTGCTTCGACATTAAAAATGCAAGCTTGGCAGTTAAAGCAGTGCTGTGTAGAGCAACTGCAAAACAGGTCGTGAAGGAATTGATCTTTGTGGAAAAGCTACATTTTCTCAAATGCCTTTTCAATCCCTAGTCACATCCTGTTGCCATGACTGCAAATATAGGAGGCAATTACAATTGTGATTGTTGTTTTTATGATACAGAAAGTTACTGAACTGAAAAAAATGATTGAATACAGTAACTGTTCTGCACTGATCACCTGATAGTGTCCAGTTACTGGATTTACAGTGGACAAAAATTGAAATTGCTCAGTTTTAGCAGTCCACTTTCTTGAAAGTGTGTAGAAAAAGAATCTTAAAAGCCTTTCTAAATAAACTTACGAACATGAACCGTACAGAAGGCAGCAGCAGTAGCAATCTTTTCTCTTTAACCTACTTTCTGTTGGGGAAAAAAATAATTGAGAGTACTCATTAACAGACAATTAGGATCATTCTTGCACATTTATTGGGAACAGTTAGTTTGTGTGTCTGGTTTTGGTTTTGGCAAGTCTCTGTTAGACAGTAAATGCTTAAGGGCTCGCTTCCGTCTCTTTGTGTTTTGTGAAGTGTTCAAAGATGCGGAGGCCTGGCATGTGACTACTGCCATATATTTAAAGAAAAGTGTATACATCAGTTCAAGTACTATGACATAATTCACAAAAAATTCGGCTATTTATGATCACAGTGCATGGCGTGGTAATTTAGCAGTGTTTGAGGCTGTCGTATTTGTGTCGTCTGATTTTACTTTTGGCTAGGAAGCACAACGGGTGTCTTTGTTAACATTTCGGTATGCAGTGCAGGTTATTTATCGGTGTAAAAAATTCTTGTGTGCCCACTTTATGCGTAGTACATGGTGGTTTCGTGCACCACTGATGGTGGTGAAGCCAAGTCAGAGGTTGTACCCTTGGGCATCATGTATAGACACGTGTCCATCAGAAGTGGGGACGTGGTACTGAAACATGAAGTGGACCATGCCAATGTGAAGCTCTTTCAGCAGCAGCTGGGGACAATTGGAAAACACTCCGAAATATCCGCTGGAATTGCAGCTCTTCTGCCACTGAGTTTGGCTTTTTGAAGTGGATCTCTGTGTGTGCTCGTAACATCAATACCTGTCTCAGGCAATCATTCTTGACGTTCAGACAAGTCTTGCACGTCTCTTCTTTTTACTTCCTGAAATCCCCTTTAACCTAAGAGATCCTCACGTCAGTGGTCAGAAGTGAAGGATGCAGGGCGTGTGTCTTAAACTTAGCAAGAAGAGAAGAGGCCACCATCAGCCTCCAGAAACACTATCCTACAACCATTCTTTGTGGGAGGATGCATGACAGCTGTATCTTATGAACTATGTAGTCTCATTTTTATAGCAGAAGCTTTTTCTTTGCACTTAGATGGCTTCATCTTTTTTCTTTCTAGATCGCTGCTTAAGGGTTAGTGTTGTCCACTAGGAATTATCAGATGGTACTGGAATTTATTTCTTTTTTTTTAGAATGCTAATTATATTCTATATTCTTAATGCATACTCTTGATCTTCTAATTTTCTTTGTTTGGTCTGCAGGGAAAAAAAATGTTCCTATAAATCATAAAGAACAGTGACTACAGTGTGACTATTATACAGAATGTTTATGATGAGTTTACATAAGACACCTTTCTTGAAGCAAACCAGTTTTTTCCTCTGCTTTTGTAACATTATGCTTCAAGGCTGCATTAAATGCTACTGCCTTTCTTTTCAGGTATCAAACAAATAGAAATATCTATGTAGCCAAGCTTCTGGCTTGTAAATTATGCTTGTTGACAAACTCCACACAGCCATGTAGTAAATTGAGGTGGGCTTTTTGTTGCTGTTGGCATTGCAACTCATTCTGGTTTTAAAGCAATCAGTGCATTGGTTTTTAACTCATGTTCACAAGCCATTGCAGGCTGTCCTGGTATCTTGTTTTGAGACGTAGAGGGGTAGTTAGCTGGTAATCAGTTATACAGGTAACTTCAAGGATTACTTAAGAAAAAAGGCAATTTAACACTTGTGCTTCAAGGATAAACTTTAGGCTTTTTCTGTATGGTAAACCTAAGGATTAAATTTTCCTTGTTTTAGTTTCTTTGCTTGATTTCTTTCTGCCCCCCTCCCCCCCCCGTGCTTTGTTCTACCAGCATGTTGGTAAAATGGATTGGTTTATTCTGAATGTGAATATTATGGTGTGTCCAGCCATAGAAACTGTAACAACTAACGTTTTTGCTGAAAATAAACCAGTTTCTCACTAGTTGAGTTGTCAGTTTTGAAGTTCCTGGATTTCCAAAACAAAAGGATTGGCTCTTTGGAAGGCCAGTGGAGGTTGTTATTGTTTTAAGGAGATAATGTTTGAAATTCCTTTGCTTGTTCTCAGCTTTTTTATGTATCAGACACCCCCTGAGATGTCAAAGCCTTATCAGCTCCCTGTACACATAGACTGCTTCTGTTTGTGTCCTTTTAAGTGTAGAGATTTGCCCTGTTATTCTTAACCAGAATTTGCTTTACTGGATAATAACACATATGCAGATGAAAACATGCTCTTACTGTCTGTCTGTGTCACCTTGAGCTGCTTTTCAGTAACACTCTGTATTTCTGATAGAACTTTTCACATACTGGGAAAGGGAATCAGATTTCTTCCCATTTTGTATTTTCTCTACTCAGTTTTATCTGTCAGGAAAATCCTCAATTTATATTTAGAGTTACTTTTGAAAAACTAGATTGTTTCTTTTGTGCCTCTAATTTATGGGATTTCAGAGAGTGGCCATCAGTAGAATTACGGGATCTGACGCTTTGTAGCTGACACATTTCAGGGTTTTGTTTATCATTTACTTTAAAAAGGTCTCATAAAAACAATGCAGAGAGAATGATACCTGAATGTCAGATTCCTTGATGGTTCATAAACAATTTTTTTTTTTAATTTATTATGCATGAATACAGAGGGGTTTACCATTGTAATTCAAGCCCTGTTTTCTGGAAACATTACAGTAAGTCCCTTCTATAAAAATTAGCACAACTAGTTTAAAAACAAAACAAAAAAATTCAACAAACTAAAAACTCCTGCAGAGTTAGGAAGCGTTTATTTAGGTCTAGTTTCTTTTTTTCTATATACTTAAGGAATTGTCATTTATCTGAAGACAGTTTAAGAATTGAATAATTCGTAATAAAAAGGAAAAAACAAAACATCTTGAAATACCAATGTTCTGGTTTTGGCTTCCCTTCTTGGGGTTAGTTTTTGTCTTATAAAAATATTTATTTGACCTTTTGAGGTTTCTTACCATTTATTTGTGAAATCAGTGCACATATCTCAGTATTAGAGCAGTTCTTCAAATGCTTTTGAAGAGATTTCCTAGTAAAAGTGATGGGATAATGTGTATGTTTGAAATGTTGATAAATATTTCTTAATTTTGTAGTGGTAACCAACTTCTCATACAGAAATCTCATGCAATATATATAATCATTTGCACCACTGTGACTGGAGAGAAAGGAGTGATTTGGTTTTCATTCTTCTTAGTTTGAAGACAATGATTTCCATTTCTGTATTAATGCAGTGTGGTTTTGTTGATTGTCTAATCTGTAATAAAAAAGCAACGCTCTGAAGTCTAGAATCTTTTAAAGCTAGTCAAAATTAAATTTCTTTATTCTGTATATCCATTTGCTAATTGTTATTCAGCACTAGAAAATATCTGTAACTTACATTTTAGAGTCGCTGACATCATTGAGCGATTTCTTGTGTTTTGGACTATTTGTGTCCCTGGCAATAGCTTAAGAGTTTTTCAGGCAATGGGCTGCCTTGAAACTTAGGCGTGATCAACTTTTCATGATAAGGGCTTCATTTTGGAGGTTTATATTTTTTCTTTTTAAAATGTTCTACTTTGAAAATATGCAGTATTCAGAATACTAGATCATGAGTTTTATCGGGTGTTAACCCTGCAGTTTTGTTTAAGGTTTATATTGTAACGCACAAAGACTGAAATCTGGAAATACAGAGGTAGTGAGAGAGAGATGTGCATTAACAGTGTGGGAATTAAAGCTTCCTTATTTTCTGTCTCTCTCTTAATGTTCTGGGTTTTATTTTTATTCCATTTGAAAGTGTAGTGTGTTTTCTAGTCTAAAGTGTGGCAGTTTACCCTAACAAAGTGTGTTTCTCTGGCTTACTGTTATAATTTTTATTAAAATAAAACAACAGAAGAAGAAACTTAGTTTTACAGTTTTGCTCTAACAAACTGCAGTGCACGGTATATACAGCCATTTTGAGTGGTTTAAAAAAACAAAACAACAAAGCATTTAGTTTAAATAAGATAATATCTAAGATTCAAGTGAGCTAATTATGTAAAACACCTGTAGGCTTCCAGTATATAGATTGAAATTTTTATCTGTGAGCTAGTCTAATTTGTCAAGTGGCTTTTCTGGTTGGTTTGTTTGTGTTTTATTATTATTAAATGGAAATTGTTTGGTTAATAGTGCTATATTGAAAATGGACTCAAGTGATGATTTAGAATGCGTGAAGATGGAACGTGTGTGAAATGCATCGTCTGGTTTTTGGATTTATGAATTGCACGTTTTGTATTTCCATGATAAACGTGTCACAATTCACCATTTACTCCACTACTCACTGACCAACTCTTAAGTGGTTTAGATGTTATTTGTTACTGACGTGCAGGCTTTAAAATCGTGCATCTGTTGTTCTGTGCTTCTCTCGTCAATGTTAAGGTCTCTTGCTTGTAATTCTTTTATTACGGTGAAATAATTAGAGTCCCCAAAAGCATGTGGCATTTAAGTACTCACATCCTTCTGTTTTCGTCCCCCAAGATGCAGAATCGGATGGTAATACTACTCTGTAACTTGAAGCCTGCAAAGATGAGAGGAGTTGTATCTCAAGCAATGGTGATGTGTGCCAGCTCCCCAGAAAAAGTGGAAATCCTGGCTCCCCCACCTGGGGCAGTACCTGGGGATAGAATCACTTTTGAAGGTTTTCCTGGTAAGTAGGTATTGAGGAAATAGGTATGTCAGCATGACCTCAGCGTTGAAGCAGACAAAAGAGTGTTTTAAAGTTGGTTATGTTTTTTGTTGAAATCTTCTGAATTAGTTTTATATTCAAACTTTTTTATTATTAGCGTGCTAAGATTGTGTAAATAAAGGCTTGAAAATACTTAACCACCTGTCAAAAATTGGAAAATACAGAGAAATAACTGTAACTTGAAAAAGGTATACAGTTCTTTAATATAAAATTAGCCACTTTAAGGTCAAGTCTAGGAAAGTATTTCCGCTTTTGAAGCGTATGGACGAACGTATTTGCTCTTTGCAAGTTGCAGTAAGCAAGTGTAAAGCGTCTTTCCCAGTGTCTCAGTCTAAGTGATGAAGTAATAAGTTCCTAATTCCAGCTCCTCCCACTAATGAAAGTGTCAGAACTTGAGGTGAGATTTTTGTTGGAGGAGGAGGAGGAGGAAGGGCTGGAGAGGATTAGAGAGGGTGGAAATCCTCTATTTGAGAGGAATCTATAATATTCAAACCACCGTGGGTTTTTTGTTTGTTTGTCTGGGAGGAAATTACTTTTGAGGTCTCCAAGGCGGACACTGGACTTTTTCCCACTTAATCAATAACTCTGTATTTGTTTTTTTCAGAATATAAATAAGAAAATAATAAAATTTAAACTTTCTCAAAAGATAACTTTCATCTGTTTTCTCACTTCTTACACCTCCCTCCCACTCATCTTCGAAAGTGGTTAGTTTCTGACTCTGCATATTGGGAACTCAACTGAGTATCACAGGTGTAGGGTGTTGGTGAATGCTTCCCTCCTACCCAAATGTCAGTTTATCCTTCTCACAGGCTGAAAGGGATATGGTCAGATTCAGCTTCTCCTGTTGCCATCTGTGTCAGCATTGCTATTCTGTTATCTCTGTCGTCGTGTTAAGTGGTTTTTTTGCCAGGAGGTGCTGGTCCATTCTGATCCCAGTAAGGTAGGCACTCAGACTCTGTAAAGTATCATTTAAATTGCTGTTTATTAAAGCTGACACCGAAGAGAGAGAATAGTATAAATAATCTTACATCGTGCAGCTAATGGGAGCCTCAAGTATTAACCTTCTTAAGCTATTGCACCTCTGACAATTTCTGGCTGTACAGCAGTGTTTTTTATTTATGAACCTCTTGGCAAGTGCAATGCTTAAACATATTTCTGTTAAATACCTTTTTATAAATATATATGTATGCATATATATAGATATTTTTATACTTTTCATGATTGAAACTGTGGTGCTCTGAAAAATACATATTTTTGTTGGCATATGTCTAAAGGAAGCAATTGTCTATCTGGGTGTTTGTGAAACAGAAGGAAAGCTCAGCTTGTTGTGATTTAATGCTCTGATTGAAAATATTTTAAAATAATACTGTGTTTAAGAAGAAAATCAGCCTTGCAGCATTTTTTTTCATTTTTAGTTTCCTCTACTATAAATACACCAAGCTTTCTAAATGAGATGCAGAATTGGTAAAACTGAAATCTGAAAGGCTTCAGCAATTGTGTTGACTAAGTTGTAGGAACTCACTCATAACTTCTAGTAGTTGCCACATATCCATGAGTAAGGATGGATTAAGTGTTGGCTATGTGACCTCCGTTACATACAAGGATACACTCTTACTGCTTCCTGTTGCTGTGGAAATGGATGTGTGAGAGAGCATCAGGCTGTAGGACAAACAGCTTCTAGTGCATAAGCCCTGCAAAATGATGTACAAGTCAGCCTGGGCATGTGGCTTTTTGAGCAGTGCAGGATCTCTTTTGTTGGGTTTTGTCTCAGACATAACCTTACTTCAAACTTCAATCTCAAGTAGCTTTGTATATCTGGCATTTGAAAGTAATGTGAGAGCTGGTAGTAGTGCTGTTCTCTCTTAGCCAGCCTTAGCTTTTCTTGCACAAGACTAATGAGTTAAGTTTTATCAAAGTAATTCAATTGTTTGACTTCATGGTTAGAGTTGCAAGAAGCTTTTCCTAGAGCAAATCAGTTCTAGAAGCTTTTGTTTTAAAATTATTCCCAGGTGTTAAGGTACACAGAAGTTCTGTTAACATTTTGAATCTTTAAAGACACAGAGTAAACTAAAGGTGGTGTAGAAGTTGGACTACTTCTAAAGTTGTGACCTGCAGCTTGTGGTACAAGGTTTTATGTGCTTTATATCGGTTTCCTTTTGATGGGAGTCAAAGACATGAAGCTCTGATAAGTGCCAAGGGAAGACTTTTACAACCCCTTTGAAAAGTTTATACATCCAAGGCTATAGATGGTAGCCTGAAATATGGCAGCTCTTTCCTAACGTTTCATAAATAGCTGCTCAATTAAAATGAGTAGGTATGAGATTAAAGCTAATCATTGACCTTGAAAATATACCTAATGCTTAATAGTGCAAAATAGAGTGAAGTATCCCCCTGTTACATAAAACCTTATTTTAAAGAATTCGAAAACTTTTGATTTTATTATTGTGAAGTGAGTAGGAAAAAGTAAGAAAAGCACCAATAGATAAAAATCATCACTTATAAAATCATTCTGATACTTGGCTTCTGTAACTTAATTTGTTGTGTACTTGTCTTTTGCATACTGCTTTTGTAAACTGAGATATTAATACTGTCCATTGGTAGGTTTTGATTTGCTTTAGGGTTTTATAAAACTTCTTTTAGCTAGAGACTAAGATTGCCACTTAACATCTTGTCCAGGTGATTAACAACTCTTGGTGGGTTTGCTTGCCCTCTCCCTCCTCTGATTCCTTTTTCTGGTTTAGGGCTTTTGTTTTTCCTTTTTCTCCTTTTTAAACAGCTGAGTGGGTTTTTTTGGTCGTTGGGTTTTGATTTGCTTTAGGGTTTTATAAAACTTCTTTTAGCTAGAGACTAAGATTGCCACTTAACATCTTGTCCAGGTGATTAACAACTCTTGGTGGGTTTGCTTGCCCTCTCCCTCCTCTGATTCCTTTTTCTGGTTTAGGGCTTTTGTTTTTCCTTTTTCTCCTTTTTAAACAGCTGAGTGGGTTTTTTTGGTCGTTGGTGTGGGGTTTTTTTTGTCTTTTGTTCCTGGGGTGGAGAAACTCACTGGGAGATCAGAAAACTGTTTCTCAATTTTTAATGGGGTTGTATGTCTATATCTTCTACTCACCTTTGTGTTAAAATCTCATGTGCTGCTTAGCTCTTGTCTTAAAGGAAATCTGGCACTTCATTCATGCTGTTATTGGGAGGGTAGAATTCTTGCATGTCATATATCATTTAATTTCAGTGCTTAATTGTAACAATTTATATACTGATCAAATTTTTTTAAAAAAGTAATTTTAAAGCATAAAGATTCATTTTGAGTCCTTAAAATAGAAAGGACAGCTGGGTCTTATTTTATTTTGAAGTATGAAAGCCTATGAAGCAACAGAAGCAGCAACAATAAAGCAACTCTAAAATGCACACAGCTGTCTATAAAGCAGCTTGGAATCAAGTTATTTTTAAGTCTGTTCTCTCCACCATACAACATATTAATGAGATGCAGGCTAATTTTCCTTGGTCATTTTAGTCAAAGTAAAAAAATGATATCTTGATTCAAACCAATTGAACTTTTTTCTGCCTAAACTTGAGAGTTTTCCTAGAAACGTCTTGATTGTCATAGAGGAGTGATTTGATAAGGAATGCTGTTGTCTGGAATAGTGTTTGTTCTTCTTTGTTTGATGTCATTGCCCTTAGGGGAACTCTGACACCATTTTATACTCGCATACATGAATCTTCAAAATCTGTTGGGTGTTTGGTTTTTTTTTAAAGTATTAAGAACTTTATCAAATTTCTATCTGCCTTTAGTGAAAAAGGTCAGATTCATAAGTCATACAAAAATTATTCCATCTCCAGTCTGTAAACACTATACCCTCCTACACAGTAATTGCTGTAAGACCGCAATAATTCTTGGTATTTTTACAGCTAACTGTGAAATCTTCTTTCTAATAGCAGTGTAATTGACACATTGACAAAATTCTTCAATGCGAAAACGCCACAGAAACCACAAATCTGTTATTTAAGTGTTATATAATTAAATAATCTTTCTGGTCTAAGAATCCCTGATAATTTACTCAATAACTCTCTTAAAAAGTAAAAATAAAAAAAAAAGAGTGCTGAAACTAGAGTGCAGTGGTTAGTCTGTATTTAACAGTTTTCTTTAATCAAAGCCTTGGTGTATGGATGCTTTCCTTCAGTTGCATGGTTATGATCCACAGTGGGCTGAGGGCTATTAACTTCTCGTAAGGTCACACGTAACCA